CGCCATTCTCATCTTAATGGGGGGGGGGGCTGAGATCTTGTGGCTGATTGCTGCGATGTTGCGATAACTCGATTGGCAAGGACGTTGCTATGTTGCCAGAACACGCTTCCCGTGCACGGGCACCACCCGTCCTCAACGTTCTAACATCCTCTTTCCCTGAACGTGTCTCGCCCCGCGCAGCGCACCAGCATGCACTGCCGCGCGAGGGCCCGCCAGACCAGCGGGCAAAAACAAACTCATAGCAAGCAACCTCAGCCAACAAACCCGGTTGGCTGAGCAAATGATGTCGTAGAGGCTGATGTGCTGGCAGCCCACGGTGACGCGCAGCTCGTGGATTTCCCATACGAGCTCGCATCCTGGGGCGGCACAGGATTAGGATAAGATTGATGAGGAGGATACGGGGAGGGCACGATCACGAAGAGAGGCAGGACAAGGAAGATGAGTATGACAGCGAGGGGAGATGGTTAGCAGGAATTTCGAAAGTGCAAGCTCATTCCGATTTTGCCCTGCCGCATGCGCCGCTGTCCCCTCCCAGCGGCGCATGAGCGAGGAGGAACCTTAGACCTCCCGCCCTAAACGGTATGGCGTAATAATGTTTCATCTGACCCCTTCCTCACTCCTCATCTACCCGTCCCTCCCTGACGATTCCGACAGATTTCGGCAGATCTCGACGGATCTCGACGGATCTCGACAGGTCTCGACAGGTCTCGACAGGTCTCGACAGGTCTCGACAGGTCTCGACGGGGTCTCGACGGGGTCTCGACAGGTCTCGACAGATCTCGACAGATCTCGACAGATCTCGACAGATCTCGACATCGATCTCGACATGTGTTTTTTCGGTCGAGATTGACTTTGGTGGCTCGCACCCTGTGTTTTATCGGTCGAGATCGACAAATGTCGATCTCGACATGTATTTTATCGGTCGAGATTTGTCGAGATTGGGGATCTCGACAAATCTCGACAGATCTCGACAGATCTCGACATGGACGTGTTCGCCTCCTCTGCTAGCACATTTGCATGGCGCGGTCCTGAAATCATGCATTCGACATGCTAGTCAGACCTCGAGAGCTTCTTCCTGGTGGCCTCCAGGGCCGAGAGGCTCTCCTGGAGCGTGTACATGCCGTCGACTGCCTTCTGCACCTTGGCGATGTGCCCCTCGAGCAGCCCAGGGAGGCGCTCGATGCCAGCCTGGTAGTCGCCCGTGTACATGGTCTGAGAGGGTGGTGAGGATTGATCAGGAGGAGGCCGCGAGCAGGAGGAGCAGGAGGAGGAGGAGGATATGAGGAGGAGGAGGAGGACGACGGAGAAGGAGGAGGAGGAGGATTGAGGAGGAGGACGAGGAGGAGGAGGAGGAGGAGGAGGAGGAGGAGGAGGGGGAGGCGGAGGATCCTCGAAGAGAGCTCGAACCGAGGAGGTAGGTGAGGGGGAATGTTAACGGAGTGAATATGGTTTGGTGTAGAGGGTTTGCGAGCGACGAACGGAGAAGGGGTCAGGAGTAGGATTGTTAGGGGTCCTCGGCCCTCGCAGAGCCCACAGCGAGGAACAGCTTGATGAACGCGTCAGAGGCAGCGATCTGCTTGAGGTTGCTGACTGCATCAGTCACTGTCTGCAGGTCGTCTTTCAGGGTGGCCTGGGAGCGCTAACCATAAAACACTCACATGGGCATTAGCTGTGGGCGGGGGAGCTTGGGCACGACCCATCCCCGCCCTCCTGTAATGCACATGTGGTGAGTTTTATGTTAGCGTCGCCCATGTCGGGTCAGTCTGCACCATGTCAGCCACTGAGTCCGCCTCCGAAATGGCTGTGCGGTACGCAGAGACAACTTTGTTGGCCGCCAGCGCTGCCTGTCGGACTCCTCTGCTGCTGCTCTTCCTCATCCTCCTCCTCCTCCTCCTCTCCATCCACTTCCTCCTCCTCCGATCCTTCTCTTCCTCCATCCTCCTCCTCCTCCTCCTCCCGATCGGGATCCTCCTCCTCCTCCTCCTCGTCCTCCTCCTCCTCCTCCTCCTCCTCCCCTCCTCCTCCTCATCGGTCCTCCTCCTCCCCCATTCTCACTCCACCTCCAGCTTGAGGAGGAGGAGGAGGAGGAGGGGTATATAGGCGGGGTGGGGGCAGAAGATGAGGAGGCGTAGGCTCGAATGACGTTCTAGCGTCCAGTCGTACAGCCTTCTTCTTGTCAGCTGCAGACGTGTCCTTGCTGCTCGGCCTCTTCGCCGCGACCTGCTGGAGTGCTCGTTTCTTTGCCTGCGGCTTGGCGATGGGGGTCTCAGCATTCGCTTTGGACTTCGCCTTCGCCGTCGGGGGGGTCGCCTGCTCGAGCACCAGCGCCGCGGACGCAGCTGCGCTCGATGAAGCTGGCAGCGAAGGCGCGTCCTGAGGGTCCTCGAGAGGATGATCGAAGGGAAGCTGGCCAGATCTCGAGGAGGACGATCGCCCTCGCCCCCCATGTTCCCGACACGAAGGGACAATGGCCAGAGGAGGGCGATCGCCCTCATGACACGGCTAGGGGGTCACGGGGTTCACATGATATTCACCGAATATGAGATCCTCCTTGATCGCCGTCTTAGCCTTCTTGTTGATAATCTGCGGCGTGTGCGCGTCTCCCCCCATTCTATGTCGTTCAACCCTCGAACGTCGGACTCGATCAGTCGATCCGTTGCTCCTCCTCCTCCCCCGTCATCGAGGATCCTCATCCTCGTTGCTAGATCCTCCTCCCTCCTCCTATAGGGAGCTCACCCGCATTCTATATAATACATGCCCCCTCCTCCTTGCCATCCCGTCTTCTCTTCTTACCCTATAGGGAGCTAATCCTCATTCTCCCTCCTCATCCTCCTCCCTGGCCAATCACCCATAGACTCTGACCTCACGTCCTCCCTTCCATCCCGCACGGCCTCCTGCTGCTTGGTCGACCACTTCTCCTTGAATACCTCCTCCATGCCAACCTTCTTGTAGAGGTACTCCTGGCGCTGCGTCATCTCGTTGAAGCGGACCCTGGGCTGAATGGGGAAATGCGCTCTCGACCCGACCTCCTTTTGCAAGGGGGCGGGGTGGGGGACAGGGGGGACCCGACCTCGACTGACTTCGGACCTCGACGCACAGACCTCGACGAACCTCGACGAAGCTCGGCTGCAAAGTTTAACCCCCAGAACCAGCCGAGCTTGGTGGCGGCGATGCAGTAGTTCAGCGCGCCCTGCACCGCCGCCTGGCTCTTGCGCCCGCCCTCCTGGGGGTGGGGGAGTTGGGCGAGGCAGACATCCCCCCACTGCTCATCGTTATCCTCCTCGTCCTCCTCGTCCTCCTGTTTCCTCACATCCTTGTGTGATGTTCCTCTCCCCCAATCCTCTTTGATGATCGAGTCCACGTTGAGCATGACACCCCACTCCTTGTGGGTCTTCTCGTGCGACACCACGTGCTCGCGAAGAGCCTTGCTCGGTGGGAGGGGTAAAGGCGGGGCCTCCGATCATGTGTTCCCTCTCCCTCCTCGAAAGGAGGTGGAGGGGGAGGGAGCGAGGACGATCAAGATCTCGAGAATAGAGGCGAGGACGAGCAGTATCATTGAGGATCGGGTGATACACCAATCGATTATTATGACTCGAGTATATGCGGGGATCAGGAGGATGGAGGGGGAGGGGGAGGGGGGGAAGAAGGATGAGGAGGATGAAGAGGAGGAAGAAGAGGAGGAGGAGGAGGAGGCGGAGGGTAAGGGGAGACGGATCATGAGTGGAGGAACTCTGTACTCATCGTACTTGGTCTTCACCCAGATCGAGCGCATCAACTTCTTAATGTCCTCGCGAGCATCGTTGTACTTGGCTTTCTCCTCAGGGCTGGCCTGTCTGTAGTAGCGCTGCCCCAGCGTCGATGCAGCTGGAACCTTGAAACCATTGGCTGCAGCCTCCTTGAGGTCGGATGGGGAGGATCTCGGAGGAGGAGGAGTATAAGGATCGAGGAGGAGGAGGAGAAGGAGGAGGAGGAGGAGGAGGAGGAGGAGGAGGCTTGGACGAGGAGGAGGAGGATGAGGTTGGAAGAAGGGGGGACGGATTGAGATCTGAGGCTAGAGGATTGATGGAGGAGGGAGTCCTTCCCCCGCCCTGACTCGAGGGCAGGAAGAGGATGGAGAGACGGGAAGAGGGAGAGGGGGCTCGAGGCTAAAGACGAGGAGAGTCCTCGAGGCGATCGTCCCGATCGGGCACATCTCCCTCTCCAGCGCCACTGCCACAGCCGCCGATCCCCTCGGTCTTCGGCAGCGCGTCGGACGGTATCTGGGCCGGAGGAGGAGGGGGGGAGGAGTGTGCACGTGCATACACACGTGCAAAGATACGATTAACATCTATATACATACTCGAGTCGATCGTGTATATATATAACGTGCACATATTATATATGACTCGAGGGGCGATCGATTTGCCCCCTCTCCTCGTCGGCTGTCATCAGCGCCGCCTTCTTGAGCATGGCGTCGGCGTCGGCCAGCTCAATGTTGCCCATCTTCGCCTCGATATCCTGCAAGATGACCAGCTGCTCGGAGTCCCGCTTGCGCTTCATCGGCTGGTCCTCTTGGGCGGGAAGTACACGCGCACACACGCACGCACATGCGCACACGCGTATGCGCGTGCGTGTGCGTGCGCGCGTGCGCGTGGGTTTGCGCGTACGCGTGCGCGTGCGCGTGCGCGTGCGCGTGCGCGTGCGTGTGCGTGTGTGTGTGTGTGTGTGTGTGCGTGTGCGTGTGCGTGTGCGTGTGCGTGTGCGTGTGTGCGTACGTGTGTGTGCGCGCGTGTGTGTGTGTGTGTGCGCGTGTGTGCGTGCGTGTGCGTGCGTGTGCGTGTGTGTGTGAGTGTGTGCGTGTGTGTGTGTGTGCGTGTAGGTGTCTGTGTGTGCGCGCGTGCGTGTGTATATTTGTGCGTGTGTGCATGTGTGTGTGGGGCGTGTTTGTTGTTCCTGTCATCGGCGTGCACCTGCATGGGCTCCTGCTGCACGCTGCGCAGCTTCTCCTCGGACTGCTTGGCCATCTCTTCAAGCTGCGTGTTGGACGGCGGCGGTATCGCGTCCGTCCACGAGTCCCTCCACGAGCCAGCTGCAGCGTCGCCATCGTGCTTCTTGGCCGAGTCCACCTTCGCCTGCTTCTCGTCAGAGCTCTTGCGGCGGATCGCCCTGCGGATGTCGCCCTGCCGCGCGGTGACCTGCGGCGCGGGGAGCGCGGGGGCCGGCACGGGCACCTCCTCCACGGGCACCTCCTCCACGGGCACCTCCTCCACGGGCACCTCCTCCATGCCCTCCATGGGCGTGCCCGCAACGGTGGCCGTCATCTGCTGGGTATCGCTGCAGCATGATGTGCCAGGAGGTGGAACGGGCGTCTCGTCGTCATCGATAATCTGGATGACTGGAGAAGGAACTTCTGGCCAGAGCTCCTCATACGATCGTCTAAACATGATTTTACAAGGAATACGTATAATATATATATATATATATATATATATACACACAGACATACATCTTATCTATATATATATATAAATAAATATATTATACACAGACGGTGGAGGGACATGGGGTGCATGGTGGGGAAGGATTAGGGTCGTAGCCGATCCTTCTGCCACCACGCTGGCGTCTCAGCAGCGTCCATGGGCGCAGACATTCTGCGTGTGGAGCGGTCAGCGGGAGACGAGCGACCTCGAAGTGGAGGCCGCAGCGAACTGATCGAGTTCGCGGCTCCAAGTGCCCACTCAGCCAAAATGGCTTTCTACGGGAGTGGGCGTGAGGGGGGAGCGGGAGAGGACACGCGAGAGGACACACCTGCATCCACACATATTTATAACACGTTGACTCTTATATGAGAGCCACTGGGCTCACGAGGGACTTCTAATGTTCTGGCCGTGTCATAGACGTTATATGTGGCAGGGTCAACCTAGCATATTAAACCATGCGGTGATCAACCTCTAGCGGCAAGGTCAACCTCGATCTGTGACTATAGTCAACATGCATGGAGCGGGGGAGTGAAGACGACGATACTTATCCACGGGATCGGCGCCACATCGGCCTCCGAGCTGTCAGGTTCAAACCTGCAGAACATCAAAAGGGCAGGCGGATGGGGCTCCAATCCCTCGCGGGCTCCGCTGGGCGGCTCGGAGCCGCCCCCCCTGCAGATGCCGATGCAGCCGCGCTCGAGCTCGCAGCAGCTGTCTCCATCTTCGTCTTCGTCTCGATGGCCGTCTTAGCCTGGGCTCCGACGCTTCCCTCGATTTCCGCATCGAATCCCCAGGGGGGGCGGGGTGATTCCTCTAATGCACGCATCATCATCAACACCATCACCATCAGCATCACCACCGCCATATACATCATCACCATCACCATCATCAGCATCATCATCAGCAGCATCGTCACCATCGTCATCCGCATCATCATCACCACCACCACCATCGTCCTCATCATCACCGCCATCGTCATCAGCTGCATGCCGTACAATTGATCAGCATCAGCAATCTCATCATCACCCCGCTCAACCTTCATGCATGCCAAGGTCCGCGGCCCAGTTGAAGGTGGGCGACTCGGTAGAACAGTCAGAGCGTCCAGACATCCCTGAGAAAAGCTCTGACACGAGGGATTCATCCGATGAGAACTCCTGGCGCTGGGGCTATGGTACACATCCTGCCGCTCGAGATCTCCTGTTCCTCGGATCCCCTGATCCCCGTGAAGGGTACCCTTAAGGGTGCACGAGAACTATCCAACACACACACGCGAACACACGAAGAGTACCCTCCCCGAACCGACCTCGATCTTATACGCTCCCCCCCTCCCCCCGATCCTCCAACTCATCCTCCGCCACCGATCAGTCTTTCCTCCCGCGTATCCTGCGGGGACGAGTCGGGCCTCGACCTCGGCGGCGTAGAGGGTGGGGTGCCTGCTGCTGCAGGGCGCTTGCGCACAGGCCCATCACCTCCCTCGTCGGAACCAGCAGCTGCAGGTCGCTTGAGTGGCGCTGCAGCGGGACGCTTCCTCGGCGGGGGGATGGGCGCACACCGACAAGCAATTGATTAATCGCTGAGAGCAGCGAGGGCCAGGGGATAGTATGGGGGTGAGGGGCATGGGCGAGAACAAAAAGGACGGTGAATGCAACATGCATGCGCACTCGGCGGTCCTTGATGTCGACTTCCTTGCAGCCGTGATCATCGCGTCCTTCTTCGCCTCGAGGTCCTGCTTGGTGTCGCCCTGCAAGTGGTAGTCTGCCAGCTTCTTGCACGCGTCCAGCGCGTCGCTCTCGGACTTGAAGTACTTGATCATCACCTGCACCACCTGGCTCCATGCAGCGCGGATGCTATACGTCCCATCGTTCTGCCACCTCTGATTTTCCCGCGCGCGCCCCGCGAATGGGCGGGAGTGAACAGACACGATTGATACGAAAGCGGTGGCAGATCGACAGAATGATCGGTGGGGCAGTGTTGGTTCTTAGACCTTGCCACCTGCTCCCTCTCTGCGGTCGGCCTCTTGTCCCTCACGCGCAGGATCCAACCTGTGGGCTCCTTGCATTTGACCACGGCCATATGCTCCTTCGTCCAGATCTCGCCAGTGGTCTGCTCCACGCTTCCTCCCGCGACGGGGGCGGGGGAGGAGGAGGCGCGCGAGGGCGAGGAGGTGCCCATGATAAAGTTCTGGTCTGTTCGAAGATTGTCGACATCGGTCGGGATCTGCATCGATCGAGCTGGATTGCAAACTGTCCTTCTGCTTTGATGTCCTTGCACAACACATCGGGCACGACATGAGTGGAGCCGTCTCGCCACCTGGCGAATGCCAGCGACGGCGCGACTCGAGTGGAATGCAAATGTACATGCATGTATGCATACACGAAACATACGTATACGTACATAAACCATGCATGTGCATACATGCATATATACACACAGGTATACACAGACGTACAAATATACATACACATATACATCATGCATACATCCATGCATGCATGCATCCATACATGCATATACCCACATACATCCATGCATAGATCATGCATATCATGCATCACACTCTATTGACACCTCTCCCTATCCACCGTGCAATGGCAGGGTCGTCGTCCCCTGCTCCAGAGGGCCGTTCCAAGGGAATCGTGCTGTACTCCTTCTGTGCTTTCTTACTCGTGCGCCTCCATGCTGCTGCAATCTCATCGTCGTAGCCGTACTCGTACTCAGCGCCCTTTTTAGAAGGACGAGTGGTTATATTATCTGACGGAGGGGAGAACGAGTAGGATGATAGAGATGGGGAGTTGCCAAACCTTGTCAGCTTTGGCGGCAGGTTTGCGGCTGACTGCACGGTCTTCATCTGCTCCGCTGCAGTCGTCCACCTCCTCATCGGGCTCCTCCTGCAGCTCCTCCTCTTCGCCCTCCTCGCCTGCGGCCTCCTCGGCCTCTATCTCCTCCTCCTCCACGTCCTCGCCCTCGTCCTCTCCCTTCTCTGCGTCTGGGTCGCCGTCTCCAGGAACGCGCCCCTGGGAGACAGCGGCAACACTAGCATGACACGGAGGGGAGGGAGACGACTGAGGTTGGTGCTGGAGTCAATCTAAATTCGAGGATCGACGACGCACGCGTGGGGCATGCATGACTATAGATGGCGAAAGCCTTTCAAACTACAAGCCTCGATGATATCCACAGCCCACGACGTCTTCGACCGCGCCCTCTTGGCGAGATCCTGGCAGAGCACCATCAGCCGTTTGGAAACCTTTTCCTTGAAGGATTTGAGCTGCCCGCCGCTGATCTGCGGACGGGGCGCGCTCTCTCTATCCCTCTCTCTCTCTTTCCCCCTCTTTCTCTCCTCGCCTTCTCTCCCCGCTCTCTCTCCCTTTCTTCCTCTCCTCCTCTCTTGTCGTTGTTTTTCTGTCCTCTCTCTCCTCGATCTCTCGACGGCTGCGTCCTTCAACATACCATTATCCCCTTCTCCTTCTCCCTCGATCCCTCCCTCCCCATGACTGGCCTGCCACTCCTTGTCCTCAGCTACGTAGCCGAGCGCCTTCTGCATGGCTGCCTTGGCGAAGTACACCTTGCAATCAACCTGGGCTGGGCGGGTGCCATCAGGATCAGCATGCAGCATCATCACCATCACCATCATCAGCACCAGCATCATCATCAACACCCTCATCATAAACATCATCACCATCATATTTCGGCATCATCATCGTCGTGAGTTTCATCGCAGCCGTCCTCACTAGCATCACCACCTGGCACCAAACATCACCATCATCATCACCATCAGCACCATCAATCATCGATAGGATCAGCAGCATCATCATCGTCGCCATCACCATCATCACCACCCCCATTACTCTCCCAATGAACTCTGGCCAGGGCACTGAACAACTTGTAGTTGTCTTTCAAGATCTTCTCCTTGCTGGCGCTATCGTCCGAGAATTTCTGGGGGCCGCTTTTATATATATATATATATATATATATATAATCGCCAAACCTAGGCTGTCCAAACTTAATAGACCCTCCGTCTGGGAACATCCAAGGGACCCCCAGGATGCACGGAAACATAACCTCCCCGAACCGACCTCGATCTGCACGTGCAGGGAAGGCCGACAGGGCCAGCAAAGGTAATGAGAGGGGTGAGGACAGCCTCCTCCTCTCCTCCGCCTCCTCCTCCTCCTCCTCCCTCCTCGCCTCCTCCCCCTCCTCTTCCTCCTTTTCCTTTTCCTCTGCCCCCCCCCCTTCTCGAACAAACAAAACATATATCCTTGACGATGGGCGGTTCCGTGACCTCCTCGAGCATCGCATCAGCGATGCGGCGTGCATCCTTAAAACAGGACGATGCTGGCATGGCTGCTCGAGCAACGTCGGCTCGGCTGGCGAGCGGCGCAGGCGACGCGAGACATGACGGGGGCGGAGGACGTATACACATATATATATACACATATGAATGTATATGTATTTGTATATTTAAGATATGTATACGTATCCATCTACAATTTATGTATATATGCATAGTATCTTCCACCAGCGCAAGAATTGCACTAGCATATATGACGTTTACGTTTCTTGAGCTAGCCGGAAGAATTAAGCGATTGCCGGAAGAATTAAGCGAGGCGACCCTCTGGGTGGGTCACCTCCCACTTGGCTTTGGATGCAGCCCCCAGGCGGATACGAGATCGCCATCGGACCTCATCATCACGCCGACGGGCATGCAGATCCCTGAG